CCCTCCCCCACCCCACCCTCTACCTCCAGCCCCACCCAGCTTCACTCTTCTCGTTAGGACTCGCCTGTCTAACCTCCTGTAAATTCCATTTGTCTCCCCATCGGGTGTAAGCCCCTGGGATGTTTGTCTCTTGCTCACTGCTGTTCCAGTGCCTAGAGCAGTATCTGGCCCTTAGTAGATGCTCAGTAAATAATTGTCGAAGGAATGTTGTTGGAATGCCTCGTAGTCAAAACATGGGACCTCCTGGATTGACGCTCTCACTTTCTTTTCTCTCTGGAACCCTGTTCAATCAGATGACTTCTGTCCCCAGTACTCCACCGAAACACGTGTGTCCAGGTCTCCATTGCTAACCCAGCGGTCAGTTCTTGGTCCCCATCGTAGTTGGCTCTCGGGCAGCACTGGCAGTGCAGCTGTGAATCGGTGCCTCCCTCCTCTGTGAGGCAAGACCCAGAGGTGCTATTTACTCATGACGCCCAAACTTGGGTGCACCCTGGGCCGCTCCCCAGAGCTCTGGAATCCTGTACCCGGCTGCCCGGTCATCACCTTAATAATGAGAAACTCACGCCCGGCCAGGCGTGGCTCAGCGGTTAAGCATGGACCTAGGATCCAGGCGATCAGGGTTCGATTCCCGGTCAGGGCACATGCCCGGGTTGCGGGCTGCAGCCAATCAATGACTCTCATCATTGATGTTTCTGTCTCTCTCTCTCCCTCTCCTCTCCTCTCTCTGAAATCAATAAAGATATATTTTAAAAAATAATAAAATAAAATAAAATAAAAAAATAATGAGAAACTCAGACGCGGTGCCAAGGCGGGGAGCTGTGTGGACGCCGCTGGGACAGCAAACCTTTGAAGGCCTTGCACGCTGTCATCCTGCCCCTTCCTCGCCGGGGAGGCGGGGCACCGTCTGCATCTGGGTATCTCCTTCCAGACCTTTCCTCTGCAGTCGGATCCAAATAAACGAACCACATAGACATTAAGTCAGCGCATGCCGTACACATCCCTCTGCCCTTTCACGCAGCGAATTGTCCTCACCTTCTCTTGTCAAATAAATGTGTGTTGACATCGACACTTGAGACTCTGTCTACTCTTCCTGTCAGTCCCTGCAACCTGAGGGTGTCTGTGAAGGGCCGGTGCAGCTCTGGGCACACAGCGGAGCTGCTCAAAGGTGCCTCTCTCCCTGGCTCCAGGGGGAGCCCTAGGGGCTGCTCTGGCTGGTCCATTGGGGTTCCTTCCAGCCAGCAGGTGGCGGTACAGCCCCTCAGTGAGCAGAGCGGCGGCCTGGACACCAGCATTTTCACAGCACCCTACAGACCACAAAGCTCACTCACCCACCTGAGCCCCCCACAAGCTACCAAGAAGCCTGTGGACCAGGCAGCATTCTCTTTCCCAGTGCAGAGGAACCTGTCCTGAGAAGGGAAGTCACTTGTTCATTTATTTTCCATCCTGTTGAGTGCTGACCATATCCCAGCCTCTAGGGCTCACACAGATGTCCCAGGAAGGCCATGTGAGAACATAGTGAGCAGGCGGCCACATCCCACAAAAATTCATGTGGCAGTCCTAACCCCAGTGCCTCAGAATGTGTTCTGATTTGGAAATAGGGTCCTTCCGATATAGTCAGGTCAAATGAGGTCACACTGGAGCAGGGCGGGATTAGCCGACATGTCCAGTGGGGACAAACAGCTCATCATTTCTGAGCAAAGAGTGGGACTTCAGAGGGTCTGCATGTGGCCTTGTCACAGGTAAACAAGGGGACACCTATGAGTCGTATAGAAGTCCCATGGGGAAGGTTGGTGCTTTGCCATAGCCATTTTCCAGAACACAAGGTGGGAGGATTCCTAACCTTGCTGTTTCCAGAAGCACAGGCTCAGGTAAACTCAGCACTGTCAGTATGAATGGGATGGAGTTAAGTGCTAGGGAGTGTTGTCTTCTTCCTGGTACAGAGGACACCCTCATATACGTTGGATGAATGAATCAATGAGTGAGTGAGGGAATGAGTGAATGAGTGAGGGAGGGAATGAGTGAGTGGGTGAGTGAGTGAATGAGTGAATGAGTGAGTGAATGAGTGAATGAGTGAGTGAGGGAAGGAATGAGTGGGTGAGTGAATGAGTGAGTGAGGGAATGAGTGAGTGGGTGAGTGAATGAGTGAGGGAGGGAATGAGTGAGTGGGTGAGTGAATGAATGAGTGAGGGAGGGAATGAGTGAGTGGGTGAGTGAATGAGTGAGTGAATGAGTGAGTGAGGGAATGAGTGAATGAGTGAGTGAGTGAGGGAGGGAATGAGTGAGTGAGTGAGGGAATGAGTGAGTGAGTGAGTGAGTGAGTGAGTGAATGAATGAGCGAGCGAGCGAGTGAGTGGGGACCCGCTGCCTCGTGGCTGCTAATGAAACCGACTTCCGAGGCACAGCGTGCCCATTAGGGCCCCTCGGGGACCCTGTGAGGGCGGATTCCTCCTCCGGGGACTGGGGTGTTACCAGGTTTCCTAACACAGGGCCGCCTGACCCCCAGGCGGTAGAAGGGCAAGGCACCGAGTTTATGGGACAGGCGGCCACGGTGAAGGGCGGCAGGAGCAAGTCCTTGCTCTCTCCAGTCTGCCCTTCCACCGGCCCTGGTGACACCCGGCAGACCCCGTGGCCGGGAGGAGAGAAGCAGCAGGGCGTTTCCAGAGAGCACACAGGTGCTGCCAAGGCAATGGGACAGGATGGCACCCCGTCCACCCTGGACACGGCCGCTCGGGGACCGGGGGCTCAAGTCAGGCGGCAGGTCGGGGTGCCTGGAGCCAGCGCTGGGTGGCGAGGACTCGTGCACATGAGCTGAATTCGGGCATGAAATGCAGGCTTCGCCCACGGGGCCAGAGCGTTGGGGGCTAGAGCTTCAACACACGGATCTGTGAGGGGACAGGACACTCAGCCCATCACAGTGTGGCAGCCTGAACAGCATCCCCCAAACGTGACCAGCCCCTAATCCCAGAACCTGTGACTGTCACCTTCTCTGGGAAGGGGACTTTGCAGTGAGATTAAGTGAAGGGTCCTGAGATAGGCGACCATCCTGGATTGTCCAGGTGGCCTGATGTCCTCCCAGCCGTCCCTGTGAGAGGGAGACAGGAGGGTCAGGGCCAGAAGAGAGGCAGTTGACAAT